CCTGATACATCTCAGTAATCCAGGAAGAAAAACCAAATAGAAAAATAATTAAGTCCTCTGGTCAGGTTGTTCTTTAATGAAATGAAGATGAATGAATACATGAATGAATGAATCATGTATTGAAGTCTGTCCTGTTCTATAATAACAATTAAAATAATAAACTTTATTTATAAAGCACTTTCAAACAAAATGCTGAACAATTAAAATGAGATAAACAACTACAAATAAAAAATTAAGGCACATAAGACAGGGTGAACAAGTGTGTCTTTAGCTTAGTTTTAAAAACCTCCACAGAACATGCTTGCCTGATGTCTTGAGGGACATTGTTTCACAATGATGGGGCACAAAAGGAAAAATCGTGCTCTCCGTGAGTTTTATTTATTGCTTTTTTTTTTTTTTTCGGGCTTTAGGAATTTTTAAAAGGCCAGTGCCCTGAGATCAGAGAGCATGAGGTGGAACATACAGGTGCAAAAGATCAGAAAGGTAGGAAGGCGCCAGACCATTTAGAGACTTGTAAGTGCAAGACCTTCAAGGTCTGCTTGAACCTGACATGGCAACCAGTGAAAGGATGACAAATCAGGAGTAATGTGCTCATATTTCCTGGTTTTGGTTAAAATGCGAGCACCTGCATTTTGAACCATATGTAGATTTCTAAAACTTTTATTCTGTGTGTGTGTGTGTGTGAGAGAGAGAGAGAGAGAGAGAGAGAGAGAGAGAGAGAGAGAGAGAGAGCATTACAGTAATTATTGGACATGGATGCGTGGACAGGGACCTCAACATTTTCAAATGATAATACAGTACATGTCGAATTTTTGGGATGCTCCTAAGATAAAAAAAAGTGGTCCCTGTTATCTCTTTTAAATGAGACTCAAAAGAGAGCAGAGGGTCGAACCATACACCCAAGTTCTTCACCTTTTCCCTGCAGTTTATGACATAATCATCAATTTACAAGGTAAAGCTTTGAGTCAAGTGATCATCAACGATGACCATTAAATTTGTCTTATCGACATTGAGAAGCAGGAAATTTTTAGATAACCGACCCCTAATTGATGAAAGATAGGTCTCTAACATAGACATAATTGTCAAGTTGTACAGACTGTGTAAATTACACAGATTTTCTCTCATTTAGCAGGTATTTGGACGTATAGGGCAATCTCACGGTTTTTCTCAAAAACTCAGCTTCAAATTTATTCTACGTCTCAGAGCCTGCAGGACATAAAAAAATTACATACCATTAAATAACCATTCTCCAACCCGCTCTGCCACTAAGTTCTCCACCTCTCCCTTCCTGTCCTCCTTTTCCTGCTCCTTTACGCTGCAGGCTTTGTTATTTCCACGTCCCCTTGCACACAAACCGCCCCCAACCACCCAACCTCGCGTGTGATTTTTGAGGGTCATTACACAGGTAAACGTCCGAGGGGGGGTGAAACGTATGGACAAGCCTGCACAGTTTCCAAATGTAAAAGGCATATACAACTGCAGATCGTCGGCATAACAGTGAAAGGTTACGGTAAACACAGGAGTATCCGCAAGAGGAGACCAAAAATTCTGAATTTATATTTATCAAGGCTATTATGCATATAACCAGATGAGACCCTGGATGTTGAGGATACTGGTTTCAGGCTGGTTGTCTTTATTCAGAGGGACTAGATTTTAAGTTTTACTTTTAAGCTTACAATTCATCTATTTTTTTGAGCTGCAACAATACATGCAATCGTTCAATACGATATCCATCTATCACTTCTATGGACGTGCATATTGAACCTAGAGCACTGTACTGAACACCTATCACTTGGTCTATAACTCAGTCAAATTTACAAAGATTGAGGTAAAATTTGGTGTTGTAGTTGTTGAGACTGATCCCAACATACTATATTTTGACACAAGCTCTTTGTTTAAATTTCCTTTTAGCCTGACTAACAATTTCTTATGAAATAAACATTTTTATTTTTCTGTTTTTTTCGCAGCAAATCTTCCGTGTGAAAACTATTTATTTTTACTTAAAGGGAACATAGCGTAAAAGCGTCTTTGTGTTTGAGAGCATCTATTGATTATAAACACCTCAAAAGCTCCAAATAAAAGCTGAGTTTTGTCACTTTAGAAGCTTCAGCGTTTGAAAACATGTCATTCAGTGARCGTTTCAGATCTGCAGTCATACTCCTAGATCACAGTGGAATTATTCACTGCTCTTTCTTTATCTACCCCGAACGTCAACTTCAAAACATTCCGCATTCAGCATACCTCAGAAGGTGGAAATCAGATTTCTCTCTCTCTTTTCTCTCTCTCTCTCTYTTTTCTTTTACTTTGAGTTGCAGCAAATTTACAGCAACAAACTTCACTAGCCCGGAATCCATTCTTAACTTTCAGTGTCAGGCGCCCTCATCTTTTCCTCTTGCCCCAGACTAAAACGGATGCGYCCACGCCACAACAAACACGTAGGGGTCAGAGACCACCTGTTCTTCGCTGGCTGAACTGGTGAAGCGGTATCAGAGGACACATCTGTTCTGACAGCAAAGAGGCCGGATGGAAATGGCAGAAAGCCCCGGTGATGGCTGGTCACCAATGACTCACAGCTGATGCTGCGGTCACCTCGGGTCACAAGAAGAGCATGGGCTGAAAGGGTAAGTCTTGAAAGGGGTTTTTAAAGAAGAATGATTAGGTACCTTTGGCAGTACTTTGAATTGTGACTGTTGGCAGGGCATACTCTGCTRTGAATAAGAGGACAGGGCAGGGGTTTATAATAAATACATTATTTTTCCTGCAAATCGTTAAAGTAGACATATAATCCTTCTTTTTTACGTTTAAATCATTCAGTTGGGGTCTATATAAAGTGAAACTGCAATGCTTTCATCTGAATTCCTCCTCATTGTAATTTTACAAGCCCCTTATCTGAGGTGTGTCTTAAGGCAGCTTGTTTTAATGTGGCACTTTACGCCCCACACCCCTCCATCTCCCAGACTGGTTCATTCTAGTTTGACAGAGGAGGGCAAAGTATATTTAGCAATGCAGAAACTTTTTATTTACAAATTGGTAAAAAGATGTTTATGTTGACATTGACATTGTTGACATTGCCAGACCTGGCCCACATCTGGTTGACAATGACTTGCCATACCAGCAATCAGCCAGCGTTGCCGGCTTGAGACCAGACAAATGGCAGCGACAGGTGACAGTCATTGTCACCGGGGTGAAACTCAACACAAGGGACTTGATAGGAATGGCAGCGTTGCAAATTGCACTCTTGGGTCACGGGTCTAAAATAAATTTGATTGGCTCTGGGGCGGCTGTGGTGGAGTGGTTAGGGGAGTCATCCTGGAACCGGAAGGTCGCCGGTTCGATCCCCGTCCACTCAGTCGTTGTGCAAGACACCTTAACTGCCTTGCCTACTGATGGTGGTCAGAGGGTCCGGTTGCGCCTGTGCATGGCACAGGCGCAACACTCGCCTCTGTCAGTGTGCCCAAGGGTAGCTGTGGCTACAATGTAGTTTGTCATCATCAGTGTGTGAATGTGTGTGTGCATGGGTGAATGTCTGTAGTGTGAAGTGCTTTGAGTGTCCTGGATGGATAGAAAGGTGCTATATAAGTACAGTCCATTTACATTTGCTTCTTGCAAATTTTATCAGCGATCTGCAAGATTATTTTGTTWACTTATGATTTTTATTTTATTTATTATTTGATTTTATTATTACAAAAATACTTGATAAGATATAAATTCATGTGCAGAAAACTTACCGGACAACTTCCCATAAGGTTGCCTTTACCTGTCTCAGTAATTATTTTGTTAAATGTCCTATACAGTAAAATAGGAAAGTTGGACACAACTAAAATAATGTTTTTCTCCATGATGAAAGTGGCTGGTGACTGCAGTGTGTAGCATACTGTCTGCTCATTGGTCAGTCAGTGAAACACTCCCTGATTGGTTCAAGTGCCATGAGACAAAAGTTGAAAATTTTTCAACTTTGTGTCACGCCGCAAGCCCGTGCATGGCAATGGGTACGAGCTCACCTGAATGGGTTTTGGTAGTTGCTTGGCGTGATTGTCACATCATCGCACAATTTTCATAGGAAATACAGTAAGTGGAGAGGAAGTGGCATCGCCTCTCGTGTTTCAGACCCATTATGTGACCCTTGCAAGATGTGTTGAGGAGTATTCTCAGTTCCTACCAGACTGAACTTTAATAAATATTTGTAAAAATTGACTTGGTTATAACAATTTTTCCAGGTCAGTTAGCTATGGCAAACATCTTGAATTGGATTGACCCCAAAGGTTAATCAGTAGAAGATCAATCAAAGACCACATTCTGCAAGTATTAAAACCATCCAGTGGTTCATGACATACTCCTGACAGACACATATGTACTGTAAATACATGGCAAAATCCTTATCACCTTTTAATGGCGATCAATAAAATTAAATTGTTTTCATAGCCCCAGAATATAATAAAAAAAACCACTAACACACTGAAAACTTAAAATAATGAGTCTGAAAAGGTCCCCAAACATAAAAGCTGGGTTTTCTTTTGTCTTTACAGCCATTTTTATTGCAGCGATATGACACAGTTTTTGCACGAGTACATAGACAAACACAACTGTGAACTCTACATGATTCCTATCYCTCATTTCACAGTTGATCATGTTATTTTTCGTAGCAAAGAAGAAAGAAAAATAATGAGAGGAGAGGGAGGGTAAATAAGTCCTCAGAGCTTCCTTCAGCCTTATTCTTTATCAGCTTTCATCTCTCTGTGCTTCGTGGCGAGTAAACCATAAAAAAAGACCCATCACTATGGGACATATTATTTCTTCCTCCTTGAATACACTATAGCCCAGACATTTAAAATCCCTCCCTCTCAAATGTAAAATAGCTCACACAAGCATTAATGGGAAGGGAAGGATGGGTTTATCTTCTGGCTCCGTGTGTGATTAGCATATAAAAGTGTAATTTTCTCTGTCCCAGCAGTCATAATAAACTTAAATAGACAATTAACGTGAATCACCGGAAAACTCACTCATTTTTCTCCAGCAACAGGGTCAGCTCTTCACCTTCTGCACGTACCACCAGCTGGAGTGACGCAGGGTAGATCTGCAACACAAAAAAGATGTCATGAGTGATGAGGTGGTGTCCTGACCCCCGCCCGTCCTGCCTGTGGATCAGCAGTTTGGGGCGACGCTTCACCTCACTGTCAAACGTAGGCTGTGCACAAGGAAGGATGTGGAAGAAAAGACACAAAAGTTCAAGAGGAAAAAGGAAGAAAACGTCAACCTCCTACACTTCCCAAGACGCTGCACAACCCAAAAAAGTTCCACTAAGCCAAACTCCTTTTTTCTCTTTCTATATGCTGTTATGAAATGCAAGTCTCTCAAGAGTTTCACAAAACCATAAAAAATGTAATTGATACGTTTAAACAGGTTTAAAATAAAATATTTTGTAGTAAAATGACAGACGTAGAGCTACTTGGTTAAACTCTAAAATTAACATTCTGCACCATCAAAACATTTTGTGAAATCTTAAGTGATCTTTAAGTGCACAGAGTATACGGTTGGAATGAGTCTAAGCTTTGACCACACCAAATATTAGCTCAACATCTGTAAAAATGACCGAGTTTTAGCCATTAGTGTGTTGGCTAAAGTTGATTAGCAGGTGCAGCCATCTTGAATTGGGTTGACTCCAGAAGTTATTTAGTTGTAGAGGAGCATCCACTGATTACTTTCTGGTGAGTTTCATTCAAATACATCCAGCTGTACATGAGATATTTAGCTAGCACTCCAAGGGAACAAAGACCCATACAGATACATGGGAAACAACATTCTCCTCCTTCGCCTTTTGGTGTCGGTTGCTGATCAGAGTAACAGAAAACCCAGGGGCACATGCTGAGGACAAGTATTGAGAGTTTAGACAATGAGCTGGCAGTGAACAAATAAAAAGCGGGCAGGATATGTTCTGAGGGAACCAAAGACAAATGAACAACAGGTGAAAGGCAATCGGCAAACAAAGTCTCGATGTTAGACTACAGCTGAGGAGGCCAAGAAAAACAAACCTTGCAAAATAAATCATGGGAGGTGACTGAAACAAGGTGAAAAGARGAAACTTTTATGCTCTTTTTTTAAGTCTAACTACTTTCTTTCAATATGGATACAGTTTGTTCCACATTTGGTATATGAATGGAAATATTATATCAAAATTTGCCTTTATAGTGTTTAAGCAATTGAAATTTAAAACATTCCATTTATATTTAAAGATCATAGCCCAGTAAATGACTCATGCCTACATTTTCTGCCACTACAATATTTCCTTTCATCTAAAACATCTGTTAAAGTTCTATCATTTAAACCATTACACATGAATACTGTCTTCCATAAATACGGCGTTAGATTATTCAGAGTATTTTATGGTTTCATTCAAAGTAAGGTCTGCCTATTGATAATATCAAATTATTGCTTTGCAGTTGAACATAGCTGTTATCCTGTTGAGTATCTCTGTCCAAAGTTTGATGTTCTGCAGAGTTTTCTTCCAGAATAATAACGAAATTCGTCCCCAAGGTTGTGACAATGAACTTAATTAAGCTACCAAGATCTCAAAGAAGACACTTCAGAGAACAAACACTGCAYAAGGACACCAAACATGAATCTTAGCCTCAAAGGACATGCCTCTCAAACTAAAAAAAATAAAAAGGCCTCTTGGACAGAAGGAAAGGTTGTGGTAATAAATTCTGTGGTGAGATAACACACACACACACACACACACACACACACACACAC